TGTCACTAGTACTCATTCCTAGGCTATTTAAATAACTTTATAGAGGCAGGATCCCTTTCTTGGTGCCTATCTTACTCAGCAGAAGCAGCTTGGCAATACATAGAGAACAGCAGTTTTGCATCCACACTCTTTGAGTCAATTTTAGACTTCTCCCGACTCATCCCCTTTTTTGACATGAAGCAAACTTAGTTTGGGGGCTTTATGGTCCATTTTGACAAACAAGAGTAAACCTGAACTTTATTTTCACTTTGCATCCATGGTTCAGAGGAGGCTGGGGGTAAGAGTCACTTAGCCAAACAAGGTAATGTGACTGGGAAATAGCACTTAGCTCTTTTACATAAAAATAATTACCTGGTTTTCATTTTCCCTCTGCAAAACTTTTTAATGTACATTAGATACCCAGGAAATAAAGAAGTGGGTAATAAAAGCCCACCTGGCTGTAGGCATTTCCCTATTCCACCGCTAGTTCCTTCACTGTTCTGAGAGGCAGGCATGCTGCTTCTGATTTTCTTGTCTTCTGCTAGCCTTTAAGTCAAAGCTGAAGGAGGGCTGTCCCTGGAAACTTCTTGTGAAGCTTATCCTTGTGGTTACAAGAATATTTATTTTGTCTTTCCATCCTTTAGCCGTGATGGGAAGGCCCTTGAGCGATTCCTGCAGAATTACTTTGATGGCAACCTAAGGAGATACTTAAAGTCTGAACCTATCCCAGAGAATAACGATGGACCTGTGAAGGTGAGAACTGTTGGGTCTGATCAAACTAATGTGAAGCTGCCTCTCCTGTTTACAAAACTATGTTGAGTATATCCAAGGTCATTGCAAAGTCACTTATATACTTGGCAGTGGAGATTTGACAATCCTCTCTAAGATTTATTCTAGCCTTGAGTCCACAAAATTCTTTTTTTTTTCCTTTTAGGCAATTGGGGTTAAGTGACTTGCCCAAGGTCACACAGCTAGTAAGTGTCAAATGTTGAGTCTGAGGCCAGATTTGAACTCAGGTCCTCCTGATTTCAGGGCCGGTGCTCTATCCACTGCGCCACCTACCTGCCCCGAGTCCACAAAATCCTAAAAAGATGATCCTTAAACTGAATTTATGATATGTCTCCTTGTGGGATCAAGAGCACACCCCCTTTTTAATGGATCAGATATTAAGATCAGGATTACAAATCCCTTTGGGATAGTTATGCTATATAAATAGCACAGTAATTTTGGTATTTGTTGCTGCCATGAAGTCTTCCTTTGTAACAGATATAGGCAGTATTTTTCAGATTATAGAGATGATGTTCTGTATGAGGAATTGAAAGGAATGGGGGAGAGATTTTCCTGAGGGTTCATATAGTTCTGGCTGTGGATTTTAGTGTTTCATGAAGATTACTCATTTGGTGGACTTGAGAGTAATTGGTAAATTTAGCAGTGATGCATCTTCTGTGAGGGGGATTGGTTCTCCACATACACAAAATTAATCTTGGATTTTTTTTTTAATAACTGGAGAATATTCCTTTTTTGTTTTTCCAGGTAGTGGTAGCTGAAAACTTTGATGAAATTGTGAATACAGATAAAGATGTTCTGATAGAATTTTATGCCCCATGGTGTGGTCACTGCAAAAACCTGGAGCCCAAGTACAAAGAGTTAGGAGAAAAGGTATGTTTGAGCTTTACTCTGAAAGTTGACTTTGAGCTGAAAGTCTTCACATGGGTTTAGGACTGTCCTTCTTAGCTACTTCAATGTACCTACTACCTGATAAATATTTTATACTTACTCTAACAAATATAATACTTCTTGTGACTGCCCCCTAGTGCCTCACCTTGCTGAATGACTCAAGTTTTGTCTGCTCTTTCAACTTCTGTTATGTATGTTTGAATACTTCAGGCTTAGGTTTGAACTTGAGAAAAGGCACCCTATAATTTCAGTGTCAGCTTAACCTGGGCATAATTGGTTCTTCCTCTAAATTAACCTACTTATTCTATGTAATTAATTGCTTATCCAGGCCAGGTGGATTTGAAGTTTAGACATTTCATGTCTTCATTGGCTAAGCTAATGAGGTGGGAGGAGCCATTGGTCTCTCCTTCATTTCTCTCCCTCATCCTCCTCCCCCCCAAAACAAACAAAGAAACAAACTAGGAGTTCTAAGCTGTCATAGCTTCATTCCCATGGTTTGATTTAGTGTTTCCGGAAACATACAGAGTGGGACTGAAGTTTTTTGCTTGTTAGTCATCAATGTGGAGGATCTAACAAGCTTAAAATTTGTTGTTGTTTATATAGCTCAGCAAAGATCCCAATATTGTCATAGCAAAGATGGATGCCACAGCCAATGATGTGCCTTCTCCATATGAAGTCAGAGGGTAAGTATATTGCAAATTAATTATTGGAATGAACACTTCAGTATACTGGGATTGATAAAGATGCTTTCTTAACAGCTGCCCTGATGGTATATTCCTGGCTTTGAGCTGTATATATATGTAGGAGATGGGATTTTGGAGAGTTTATAGTCAGTTTTCTACTTCTTAGCATCGCCATCTCCCTACTATAAATTCTTCCAGTGTTCTCGTAATTAAGGCAACACTAACATATATACAAGTCAAAACACATTTCCTGTTAGAGTGTTGGTTCAGAGTTCTCTGTTGTATGCCCGTGAGTCTTTAAGTTAGGTGGGTTTTTGCTTGACTTAATATGGTATAACTTGGTTGCCAGTTTTTCTAGGATAAAAGACCGTGAAGAGAGTCATTTCCAGGGCATGGAGTTGGGAAAGGTTCTGAGCAGTGTTTTTCTGAAGTCTAAATAACATCCTCTTCTCTCCCCAGCTTCCCTACCATCTACTTCTCTCCAGCAAATAGTAAGCAGAATCCAAGGAAATATGAAGTAAGTACCGGGAGTGCTTATCCCCAAAACACACGCCTATAGCCGCTGTCGAAGAAAAAATAATGCTGTACGCTCCTGGTTTAGGCATCAGTCTGCCAGAAACAGTTTAATTTATCATTAATTTACATCCAAGCCTAGAAATTTCTAGTTTGGAGAACGAGCTTTCCAAACTGGCATAGTCTCCCATCTCCTCAAACATGGACTCGTTGCCCCGAGAGTGTTTCAGGTAACATAGGAATCTTGAAAAGTAAAAGCTATCTTAAAATACAGTCTGGATTGACATTCCAGAGTTGAGCAGCCAGGTCACTGTCTTCTTCCTGCATCTCTCTCCCCAGAAGAATCAGTGAGGTTCCTGCTATAGAACTATATCAAGAGTCTGTATTGAAGAGGAGGTGTAATGGAAGTAGGCAGTAGTTTACAAGGTCCGTTTAGGAGAAAGAGGAAGGAAAATATCCTTACATGGTTACTTAGAGGTGGGAAAAGGTAATATTTTTAATCTAAATAAGAGGTATTTTGTTAAGTTTCTGGATATCACCCATAATCCATTCATCAGTGGAAAGCCTTTTTTTCCTTTTGTCTTGACCTGTCCCACCTATCTGTTCAAGCTTTTCTCCAGAGTCTAAATAGGACTTAAAAGAAAACTATTATTTTTCAATATTTCTAGATAAACTAAAAAAGATTTTTAAAGTGTTTCCACACTATTCACCTGAGGTCATCCGTCTGTTTCCCTTCCACCAAGCTAGAAGCTCTTTTTTTTCCCCCTCCACCTAAAGGGATTCCCAGTCCTGCTAGGCAATACATTTCTCGCTTAGCTTCAAATCCAAAAGTTTGTTTGGGTTGGGAAGAAAAAGAAGATCCTCCCTGAGGTTCTAAACAAAGCTACGTTTTTAGATAATTTTTTCTTTATTTTCAGGGTGGCCGTGAAGTTTCTGACTTTATTAACTACCTACAAAGAGAAGCTACAAATCCTCCTGTGATCCAAGAGGAAAAATCTAAAAAGAAGAAGGCAGAGGAAGATCTTTAAAAGTAGCAGCAAAAACAGACCACTTTGTATAAGGACTCTTTTACCAGTGATGGGGCAGTCAGTGCCTCAGGGATGAGTGGACAGCGTGGATGCCATTTGAATCCTGTTTAATTTTATCTGAGCTGTTTCTTTAGGTGCACTGTTAATGGAAACACCAAGACGAGTTGATATTTGTTTGTGGTTTGGGGGGGATGGGGTGGGGAAGGATTATTTGTGTTGGGGAAATATTGAAGGGAGAGGGGAGTTGAGTTGGGGGTTATTTTCTAATTTTTTTTTGTACATTTGGAACAGTGACAATAAATGGAACCCCCCTTTAAACTAAGTTCGTCGGGGGGAGGGGGAGTAGGGAGGATGGAGGTAATGTTGGCAGTTAGAGTAAACCATTGCCTCACACCAGATAACTGATCTGATGTAAAGCCAGAATTGTCCCTGTGTTTACTGCCCAGACATTTTTCTTGTGATTATCAAAGATTTTTGGCCCTTTTATTCATGCCCTGCTTAGGCCCCCAAGGCTAACTTGCTATTTTTCCTTGCTACACACCTGGGACCGTTGCTTGTTTATGCCTCCCTAGGGCTGCTCTTAGCCCTAGGGTACCCTGCTATTGCAATTCCTGAGCTTCGGTGTGGCTTTAGTTTAGAGAAACTGTTACTGGATCTGCTGACACTAATAAGGGTGCAGTTCTATGCATTCTACAGCCTGGGGTGTGACACAGTAACCTCTTAATTGTCAGGACTGGTAATGGTGGTAGTATTTTTCAGGGCATCCCTTTTCCTCTTGCTATAATGCCTTGCAAAAAAAAAAAAAGGATGTACCTAAGTGATGCATTTCATTTGCTACAGATATATGCAAATGTATTCTTTTGTTGTTTTTGTGGGTAAGAGACCTAGATGCCCCTTCCTCAGGTGTAGTTTTCAGATCACTCAAAAATGATAGCCAGGGACTACAACTTCAGGAAAGTCATTAAGTTATCAGAAAGGGAACTGGCTTCTTCAGTAACCTAGCCTGGTTTGGGTAACCAGTAGATGTCAACTGTTACATCCTCTCTGTAAGCACCTGTCCCCACCTTCATAGTATTCGACCAGAGATCAATTTGTACAAATCACACAGGATCAGTCATCATTTGTTTTCCAGCCATGTTTGTAAAGAAATTCACCAAACATTCCCATGATCTCCACATGGGTTATAGTCAAGCCTTGCCCCTCACTAAGTTTGAGGGCAAATGAGTTTGCAAAGCAACTGTTATTCTGGTCTCTTAGGGTGATCACAAAATTAGCTTTTACCATTGTTTCCTCAGTATTCTATCTTAGAGGTGGTTTTAATCTCTTGGGTCATCAGAGTTGTGGTAAGGGTGATGAAACCCCTGTAGTTCTTGGGCACAGCTGGAAAGGATTGGCATTATGCCAACACAACCTGGATAGCAGGGGGTGATGTAAATATCCTGATAACAATGGGAACCAAACCCCTCAAGGATTTGTAGCTGCACCTGCTATTCCTCCCCATCCCCCACCAGAGTCATCAGTGAGATCAGTAGTAGGCTGAAATGCCTAAATTGTTTCACAGCCGCCCTGTTTATCAACATCTCACCAGACAGAAGGCCTGAGGCCTTCCTGGCAGCCTCAGCTGTCCCTGTTCTTCTCAAACTCCAGAATGAGGCTTTTGATGTGTGACAACTTCTGGTGCAGGTACTCACAGCGCTGTCTTTCTTCTTTGTAACCTGGACATCGCTGCAGAGACAAGGCTAATATCTGAGATAACTTCCTTGCTTCCAGTTTCCCTTTATCCACCCCTGGCCTTAATCATACCTTCCTGAACTTTCTGTATTCCTGGACTATCTTATCTTCCAGCACCTGAAACAGTAAGAAAAACATGAGCAGCCCTAAGTTGCTCCTCAAATTCTCTGAAAGGGAAGTAGGAAGCTCTTTTTTTACATGTATAATCTAGACAGACTTTTCTCCCGAAAATAGTGACATAGTGAGTCAGTTTGCTTGTTAATGAGTCACTTAAAAGCTTTACCTTGTGTTCAGGAGTGCCTCGTTGTACTCTCTTAATCTCCATTCCCAACTGCATGAACTTCCTGCTGACAGCCCCAACACGTGCGTGTAGGGTCCGATATTCTGCATAATCTGCTTCAAAATCTCGCTCATAGACACGACACTGTTCAGTACTGTGGATGGCTCCATACTGCCTGCGAAAGTCAAAGTCATCCTCATTCAGCTGTCCCCAAATGTCATTCCCCAGCCCCAGCAAGGTCAGGATAGGAGGGTAAGGTCTCTCAAGGACAAGTGTAGGAAGAAGGAATAAGGGACTCACAGGAAGTAGTCTGGTGTTTCTCCAGGAAGCAGTGACTCTGTACCTGGCGAAGAAAAAACTATGAAAGGAAAAGTAATATCTTATTCTTTATACTGTAGGAAGCTTCACCCCCATAAACATTACCTGCTTGTCCTAAGGAGTTGTGTTCCCTTCTGGGATACGCATCATGGTCTTTCTCCCACTCCTCTCCCTCTTGTGGATCATGACTGGGAACCTCCTGTGGGGAACTTGGACCTCTAGGCCTCTTGTCCTCTGGTTCTGTTATGTCTGGGGAGGGGTGTCGCTTCTGAGAGAAGTTTAAAATCCAGTTCTTCAACACAGACTTAGCCCTGGCAGATACCTCCCTCTTCCCAACTAGTTATACCATATAGTAGATTTCTGGAAGTTGATGTTTATCTCCTAAAACTCCAAGGAGAGGGTTCATAACACCCTCCAAACAAAACAGAAAGGATTACTTGAAGCAGGTTCATTTAAAAGAGCATTGAAGACCAGTAGGTATGAGCCGTGGTCTCCCCATCTGTAAAACTGATCATGCTTGTGTCATCTGAGGAAAGTGCTAATGTGTTATTCAAGGTAGTGTGGCAACGGCGCTGAATTTGGAGTCAACCTGTTTTAACTCTTGGCTTTTTTATTTACTGTCTGACTTTAAGTCACTTCTCTGTGCCTCGGGTTTCTTCTTAAAATGAGGGTGTTGAATTAGATCACCTCTGAGATCTCTTCCAATTTTAAATATATGATCCTGTAACTAATTACTTACCATGTTCAAGTGCCTCTGGCTGGAGGAGGAAGAGGGTCTGTGATCTGGCCCCTTTGTGGGTTGAGGGCTCTGGTCTCTACTGTGTGAGGAAGGGGGAAAGGGTGATTGAGTTGCAACTTAAATTTTAAGAATGCTTTTGGATTTCTTGCTGAGGGATTTAAGGAGGATTTGAGAGGAAGCCAACACTGCCTTCCCTTTCTGCCCCTCCTAGTTTATCCCCTAGTACCTCAGTAGCCACTGTGCCAGATGGTCTCTTGAGGATCCTGGAACAGGCTCTTCCTCTTGACTGTTCTCCAGGGGATCTAGCACCTTGTAGGGAGGTGACACTGGCTCAGACTGGAGGTAGTAGTGTCAGTCAGGAGCCCCTTGACTCCTAGGCCTCCACATCTTTGTTGTAACACCCCATAACTACTGGCCTTACCTCTTCTACTAATAGCTGTGGTTGAAGTCCTGTTTCCAATCCACTGCCCTGTTGGACCCCTGTTTCCCTGGCACCTTCACCCTGCTGATGTCCCTGAACTGAAGATGATACTGGTACAGAATCTACAGCAGAGCAGATAGTAATTCGCTCTCGAAGAGGACCTATGCACCGAAGCAAGCCTGGTCCAGACCTGAAGAATGGAGGAAACAGGGAGCAAAGCATAATAAATCTAAAGGATTCAGCATCTTAGTCCTCTGTCTGGTTTTCTATGTATTTCCACTTACCTGCCAAAGCGGTGATGAACAAGGTCCATCCCACCTCTTGGCCCATCTGCTCCACACTGAGACACTATGAAAGAGAAGAGGCAGGAACAGCCAGAGCCAGGAAGTCGAAGGTACTGAAAGAATATACCCAGTTAAGTGTCTACCCTCCTACCTAAAGTTCATTGCTTCCCTTGAGTAAGCATTTAGAGGACTCCCAGAGTTGGCCTATGACAAGGAACTAGGGTCCCCTGGGGACTTGTTAGTAATATCAAATGCAGCTGGACCTGAGCTCCCTCAGGAAGCAGAGTCTTATCTCTAGGGTCCTTCCTCACTGCCTGCTCCCCACCTCCACCCCTTGTGCCTACACCAAAGCAGACTCACCACGATATGGGCTCAGGTTAGGCAATGGGTCTGTGTACATGTTACATACTCCCTAGAACAACAATATGTTCTCCCGGAAGGGGGAAGGTAGTGTAGTCGTTTGTGGTGCCACTCTAATTGCTCTGATAACCTTTGTGGCATAACCCAAAACTCTGTTCTCCACTCCCCCCCCCCCCCCGAGGCCTCCGTAACATCCATTTGCTCCCATACTCTTCAATACAAGCACTCAGGGCCTTCACTCACCCCTCGGTTGCCCTGGAAGGCGATCACAGGCTGGGCCTGAGGGAGATAAAGAAGGAAAGCTGAGGACCAAGAAGTGACCCTAGCCCCGTTGTCAGGAAGTCTGTTACACCTAAGTTGCTCAGAGCGGTCTGGGATCGGCAGAAGTCTCCAGCACGCATGGGTTCGCAGATGAGTGAGAAGCGGGGTTTGGGAGTAGGGAGTTGGTGTGTGGGTTCTAATATCCAGCACCAGTGATACAGGGGTTAAAGAGCTTGGAGAGAAGCCGGTAGCTCAGCGCGAGTGCAGGGTCGAGAAAAAGACCTCGGGGTGATTGGAAACCAGTCCCGGATCGACTAAGGAGGAGGGTTCGCACCTGTATCCGCTGACAGTCCTGTAGCGCACGCAAGGCTGAGTCGTTGAGTCGGAGGAGTAGGAGGCTGGCTCGTGGACCAGGAGTAAAAGAGAGCCGCAGCCTCCCGTTCAGAACCTCCTGTGGCCCCGTCATGGCGGTGATACTGGCGGCGAGAGCAATCGGGGCTGCTCCAGGACGAGGACCACTAGTATCACCGCCCGGCTCCAGCAGTCTCGGGCAGCCCCACCTATTTCTGCCCAGCCCAGTCCAGCCCTTTAGTTTTTGACTCCGCCCCTCCTAAGACCCCGCCCCCAGGTCTCCTGGGCCCGGGTCAGCCTGGTAGAATCCCTGGTCCCCCAATCTACCCCTCTTAGCGAGTGGAGGTCTTGCACCTTTTTGGCTTGAGAATGGTAGGATCATAGAGGGACTGGACATTTCAGAGATGCTCCTACCAACTAGAGGGTTCCTAGAAAGAGAGGAAAGAGAAGAGCAAGGGGATCCTGGTAAAGTCAGTTTTTCCAGGCAAAATCTCCATTCTTGCCTCAGTTTCCTAGGCCTAACAGGCAAAGCGCTTAGCTTTTCTCAGTCTTAGAACTGTGGTTTTCTGGCGCCTTACCTAAGGGATTGAGGTCTCCGAGGAGAGTAGAAGTGGTAGGTTGGGGAGAAGAGAGACTAGACTAGAGGTGGGGCAAGCTCCCGAGCTGCTCAGGAAGCTAATGCCATGAGTCCCCAAGGGGCTAGAACATGGCAGGCCCAGGAGTCCTGGTCTCAGCACCCCTCTAGGATCCCAGGTGTGAAAGCCTGAAGGGTCTTTTCTCTTGCCTGGCACACCATGCTAGGAGATGCCACCTGAAGTCCAGGAGCTGGGGCTTCTTCCAAAGGCTGGAGCAGCTGCTGGGCCCTGGGGGTGAGAATGGGAGGAGTTAGTCTGGACAGGCTTTCAGCCGCTGCAGGCTGGGTGGACCTGACCAGTAAGCGGGTCTGGAGTGGGCCTTGAAGAAGAGTGGCTTGGGAAGGAGACGATCTAGACTTACTCAGGCCCCTCCCCACCTGAGACCTGTTGTACCGGCAAGACAAGACTGTTTCAGCTCTCTTCGCTAGAGAATAGGCTGGTTCACAAGTGGCTAGTGGAAGAAGGGAAGGGACCTATTCCTGAGTCAAGCCAAGAGGTGATGGTGAAGCTGTTGGGGGTCTTGGAGGACTGAAGCTTGGTGGAGAGAGACTTGAGACTGACCTTTCAGCTGGGTCAAAGGGCAGTCATCCAGGTGTGTCAAGGAGTAATAATCCAGGTGTTTTGCCTCCTGCTTTCTATATTCCCTTACAAGTACCTTCATGCCTGTTTTTCCCTGCCCTCCACCTACTTGAATCTTCCTGCCCCACCCTGTAGATGTTCACAAATTCAATTCAAAAAATGTTTCCTATGCTTGATAGTGTTAGGCTCTGGGGATATAAAGACAAGAAGAAATGTTTGGGCCCTCACGTTATATTGTTCTAGGGAATATATGACATGTACACAGACCTGCAGATACAAGGTAATCTGTAGAGTCCAATGTATCTGTCCAATGTTGCACAGCCCTGAGCTGGGAATCAGGCAGCTTCGTGGATAGAGTGCCAGCCTTGGAGTCAGGAAGACTTGAATTTGAATCCCACCTCAAATACTTACTAGCTGTGTGACCCTGGGCAAGTCACTTAACATCTGTTTGCCTTAGTTTCCTCAAGTGTCAAATGGAGATAATAATAGCACTTATCTCCCAGGGTAGTAGTGAGGATCAAATGAAATAATAATTGGAAAGCACTTTGCACAGTGCCTAGTAAGTACTACATAAATATTAGCTATTATTATTAAAAGACCTAGATTCAAATCCCAGTTCTGCCGCTCATAGAGTGTGGCCTTGACAAGGTCATTTAATTGGATCATAGATCTAGGGCCCCAAAGGCTATCCAGTCCAAACCCCTCATTTTACAGATGAGGAAACTGAGGACCAGGGAAGTTATTTATCTAAGTTCACACAGGTAGTATTTCAGAGGGTGGTATTTGAGTCTGGGTCCTCTGACTTCAAGGCCAGTAATCTTTCCACTGTGCTATGTAGACTCCATTTCTGGGAAACTCAGTTTCCTTATCTGTATCATGAAGTAGCTGAGCCAAGGTCTCTTCCAGCTCTAAATTTCTGATTCTGTGATTCTTTCAGAGTGCTTTTCTCTGCTTTCCAAGGAAAATCAGTTAATTTGACAAACTAGTATTCTTTCATGGCACTCAAGTATTTATTTTTTCTTCATTTCAAGTATTCCTTTACTTTAATAATGTAATAGTGGTTTTCTGGAGGAAATGTTGCCACCTTGACACAAAAGAGTGTCCTCAATGGTGTGAATTTGAGGCCTGGTAGGAGGGTGTCAAAGGAAGACATCTGGAAGGTTGACTGGATAGAGTGTTGAACTTTGGAGTTAAGGAGACCTGAATTCAGATGTTGCCTCAGTCACTTACTAGTTGCATGACCCTGGGTAACTCACTTAAACTTCTGTTTGCCTCAGTTTCCCCATCTGTAAAAAAAATGGTAGCTAGCACCTACCTCCCAGGGTTGTTGTGAGGATCAAATAAAATATCATTTATAAAGCACTTTGCAAACCTTAAAGTGTCATATAAATCCTAGCTGTTATCATCATCATCAAATTGAAATACTGAGCAGTTTTTGCATTGAGGTGTGGAAGGTGGAAAGATCATCTAGATATAACTAAGGCCTTGTCATTCCCAGCAGCAGAACAAATAATCAGGATGATCCTGGGGAAGGATGCACTTAGGAGGCATAAGTAGTTTCTGGGTTTTTTTTCCCCACCTTGTATTTCAAACAGTTGAGTTGGGGTGGGGGGTAGGGGGTAGCAGGCCAGGGATGAGCTGGCAGAGGACTACAAGGTGAAGTGCTCGTCACTTCAGAGAAAAAAATGTTACTGGAAAATGTTAGGGAAATGGCTATATTGTCAAAGAACAGTACAATACAGGTTGTTTGGCATTGGTAGAAATTCTAAAGATTCTAACTTTGTTGTTGCTGTTTGTTTGTTTTTTGTTTGTTTATTACCACCATTGCTTTCTTTCTTGGGGGGTGGGGCGGAAGAAAAGAGAAGGTAATAAATAAATCTATAGTTAAAAAAAAAGAAAGAAAGAAAAGAAAGAGGGCAGCTAGGTGGTGCCGTGGATACAGCACTGGCCCTGGAATCAGGAGGACCTCAGGCACATGATACTCACTAGCTGTGTGACTCCGGCAAGTCAATCAACCCCAACTGCCTAACCAAAAAAAAAAAAAAGCAAGAATGCCCAGCACCCCTCACCCCAACCCCCTTCAACATTCTAGCTCAAGTGAACTTCCCAGGGTGGTGCAGAGACCACCACTATCCCTGAACCGTGAGCCTCATGCCTCACAGTCCCAGAGTATGGAGCACAACTCACTCCCTCACTCAGTTCTGGGCTTCCATTCTCCATGCCCAGGCATAGAAGCACTCCTCTCCTGCAGCCCACTTTCTTTATAGAGATGAAGACTACACTTTCTGGGGGATGGGTTGCCCCCCTGTTAGGGAAGTGCTACCACACCCTTCCCTACAATGTTCTCACCCAAGATGAAAAAATTCTTAGTTATAACCTTGCTCTTTGATCTCAGCTCTCACTTTCTCTTCTGTCTTCTTTTTTCTTTAATGGTCCCCTCTCCTCTTCACAGACCTTGGAGCTGGGAATCCTATCCAGGCTTTTAGGGGAGGTTACTTTCCTTCTCACTAGTGACCAATATGATTATGGTTCCCGAGGCAAGGGAGGCAACTTTCACCAGAATGGGGAGGCACATGGTAAATGTTTACTAAGCAAGGAAACCCAAGGGCTGGGCTGGAGGAAGGCCAGGGATTAACAAGGTTTTCAAAGCTTGGAAGTAGAAGTCTGTGGGGTAGGGTACAGCTAAGTATCACATTGTTTGCTCACTCCTCAGGACTGTAGACACTTGTAGGGCTTGCTAGGACACTGAATAGGTCATCCTGTCTATCTTCCTGCCTCTAGGCAGTCCTCAGCTCTTTTCCTCTACCAGACAGCTAGGGATGAAGGCCAAGAGGTATTATTACTGTGCTGAGACATCTTCAGGAGAACGACCACTCACCTGAATTTCCCTTTTCTAGTGCTTCATGCCCTTTGCAGTGAGAGTGGTCTTCCTGTAGTCCCAATTCCCGTATCTTGTGGTATCTTACCTCACAGGGCACCAGATATGCCACCAGGGGTCATGACTCTATATGAAACAAAGCTCCTGAAGATTGCTCCAGCCTAGGACGCTAGGAATCTATGCCCAGCCCAGTGCCTGAACCTGGTCCATTTGTGGCAGGAGCAGGGCAAAGCTCACTTGCAATGGGTGGGGGGGAGATGTTCCAGGACAGGCTCTGCTCTGCTACCAGCATGCTCTCCAGCTTCTTTACTCTGAGCCCCTATCCTAACCTAGCCTTAAAGAGATCCAGAGGGGTCTGACAGAGGAAAGGGTTAAAGAAAACAACAAGCTCCACCCCTTTGCAAAGTTCTGTGGGGCTTTGGTAAGTAGTGAATAGGCAGGAGGAAGCAGCTTGCCTAGGACAGTGGGAGAGAGGGACAGAGCTGGGGGGAGATGGTCTCTTAGGAGCAAGGCCTAGAAACAACCTTTGGGAACCACTTGTCTGAGTTAGCTATCATGCCTCTGTCCCATCGGTTTGACAGAGCATGGAGGAGGAACAGGAAGTCCACCAGCTTACACCAGCTGGATGACAGGGTCTGAACAACATAACAGCAGCACAGCTGAAGCTGGAGTTGTCGGGGGAAGCTCTGCGGGTCCGCTGAGAAAGCATTCATCTGGGACCATTGCACTGTTCCAGCTTTGTTCAGGAAGGGAAAGGTGTGGTTGGAGCTGGTGGGGGGGCATATCAAAGGAATAGGGAGGGTTGTTACAGCACAATCTGAGGAGGTTGGAGTGGGGAGCTGAAGTGGGAATGGAGAGGCACAGGACTATTTCAGAACCTGAAGTAGTTCTAGCCACCCACACCAGGGGGAAATCCACATTGAGGGCTTTTCATACTCTTATCCATATTCCACACTGAGGAAATTCCTTGTCTATTCTTAGCTGCTGTCAGACAATGGAGATATTCTGCTAGCCCTGGCTGCCCTGAAGAGCACCTTGAAGCTGGAACCCACTAACAAGGCAAAACACCTACCTCCCTTTGGATGTTTTCCCTCTGGCCAACTCCCTTCATGGGTTACATTCTGAATCTGGATCTATCCCTCTTCTCTAGGTTCACCCCACTCCTTTGCAAAGTTCTGTGGGGAAAGGCTAAGACCCCAGAGACATCACCATGGCAATCATTGAGAAAACAGGGCTGGGAGATGCCAGAGGGACTACAGCTTTATCTATGGGCTCAGAGCACCTGAGCACAGAGCTGTTTTGCTCCCACAGGCCATCCACCTAGCACTGTCCAAGCTGGTGATACAGCCGCACAATGCAATAATAGAGAACCTGGTTCCTTGCTCTGATCCATCAGTTCCCCTCGCCTTCCCAGTATCTCCCAAGGTGCAGGTCCTAGGACACATCTTCCTACCTGATCTCTCACCTGGTTAACCCATGATGTATGCAGCTACTGGAAGTGAAGACTTTAAAAATAACGTACCCCACAAAGAATTGGAAATTGAGGGGATGTCCATAAATTGGGGAATGGCTGAACAAGTTGTGATATACAAATGTAATGGAATACTATTGTGCTATAAGAAATGATGAGCAAGCGGACTTCAGGAAAACCTGGAAACACTTGTATAGACTCATGCTGAGTGAAGAGAGCCGAACAAGAACATTGTACACAGTAACAGCCACGTTGTGTGATGACTTTGATAGATTTAGCTCTTCTCAGCAATGCAAGGATCTAAGACATTTCCAAAAGTCTGATGATAGAAAATGCCATCCACATCCAGAGAAAGAAGTATGGAGTTTGAATATAGACTGAAGCATACTATTGTTTTTTTCTTTCTTCTGTTTTGTTTTGTTTCTTCTTTCTGTGTAGGACAGCGACCCCAACCCAAATTAAACTCAGAGACTTCTCAAGGTGGAAAGCAAAGGTTACCTTTATTACAATCTCATGAGATGGCTGTCTGCTCCTCGGATACACTGGAGAGAGAGAGAGACCGTCTAACAGGGGCCGCCTTATAAAAGCAAATCTCCACCCACCACTATCCCCTACCCCCTTAACTGGGGGTGGGCTTACATTCTAACTAGGAGGTGGGGCTTACATTCTAAGCTTGAAAGTTTCTTCCTATCCCCTTAACCGGGAGGTGGGGCTTATATTCCAGGCGAGAAATTCAAAGCCAAGGACAAACGGCTCAGGTTGGGGGTGGGGCAGGGCTTATTCTTTCTGTTAAGTGCTTAAAAACAGGGTCTGAGTCGGGGAGGATTTTGAAAATAGTAATCAAGAATTATTTGACCCTTTGAGGAGCCTTCATTTCTGAGAGTTCATTTCTCACACTACCTTCTGAACTCATTACCTTAATTACATTGAGAAGTCTTTACTGGGACATGCCATTCATTTCTATTCTATTTCTGTTGGTTCTAATTCTTTATAACATGACTAATGTGAAAATATGTTTAATAGGAATGTATATGCAGAGCCTATATCAGATTGAATGCCATCTTGGGGAGGGAGGTGGGGAAGGAGGGGAAGAAAATTTAAAACTCAAAAGCTTATGGAAGTGAATGTTGAAAACTAAAACTTAATTAATTTTAAAAAGTGAAATAATGTGCCCCAGACTGGCTGTGGAGGCTAGATAGATAAGTCTCCAACCACCAGCCCCAGCCTGTCAGTCTTCCTATTCCTGACTGTGGGGAGGTCCTTGTTCCCTCCCTCAATTTTCCATTTTCTACAGAGAAGTCTTAGATCCTTCATTCTCCCTCCCCAATTCCCTTGTTTACAATCACTATATTGGTGTTTAGAGCAGGGAATTTCTTTGGATTCCCTTCAGCCAAGGGGCTTCCATCTTATCTAAATTTAGTGCTTTTCTTCTGGCAGACCAGCTCAGAACACCTTCACCCATGACGTCTTGTTCTAAGAGCCTTCCTGTCCCAATTCATGGTTTTCCTTTCCCAGTCCAGTCCCTTTTTCTTTGGTCTTTTCCCTCTACCCCTTAAAACAAAATAAAACAAAAACTAAAGAGTATTAATTTTATTCTATACTGAGCTTTTGTGTCTTGGGGACATACAGTAACACTAGAAAGCCCCCTCTGAAGGGCAAGTATAGTGCCTATTGGTGAAGCTGATATGAACAACCTAAAAGAGCAACATAAAGAAGCCTGGACTTAAAAAAAAAAAGTGCAAGGACAGGGGTTTCAGATGGAACAAAATACCATACTGAGCCTGGGCTAAATTGTAACCAACTGCATACAGGATTGTTGTGTTGTTTAGTCCATGACCAACTCTTCATGACCCCATTTGGGTCTTTCCTGGCAAAAGATACTGGAGTGGTTTGCCATTTCCTTCTCTGGCTCATTTTACGTATGACGAAACTAAGGCAAACAGCGACCAGACCAAGGATCACACAACTAGTAAATGTCAAATCTTGCCGACTGGAGGGCCAGTGCTTTATTCACTGCGCCACCTAGCGGCTGTGATATAAAACTTCACCGATGCTCACCCTACAAATTTCCAAGCTCTATGGTTCTAGTGTAATGGAACAAATTGCAGATTTGTAGTTGGAGGTCCAAGGTTCAAATTCCTGCCCTACTCCCTACTACTTCTGCTACTTTGGCAAACAAAAATTATTTTGTCTGCCAGTTTGATAAACAAAGCAGCCAAGATTTACCATATCATCAATGAAATCAAGCCAGTTACTGATTTACGTAAACAGGCTTTAATTTTCTTCAGTTATTTTACAAATAAATTCTGTGAATTCATGTACTGATTTCTAATCAGCATAAAAAGGGTTTCTGGACTCTTAGACAAGTCTGTCCCAACAAAATGGAGTGACAGCTCCAAGATCAAGCCATGGCCACTAATGCTACACATGAACTCAGCCACAAAGTTACCCTCTAGCTTCTTCTGCTTCAAAACAGTCTAACCCACATTCTAGGTTCTTTCGTAACTCACCTCTCTCATTCCATTCCCTAAAATCAGCTCAAGAAACTTGAACGATTCAGCCATTCCAGCTTTCTAGCTGCTGGTGCTGTGATCTTAGGCAGAGGGTCTAAGTATGGGGTGAATATCCTTAACATGAAGAAAGGGCAGAAGGGGCTGAGGCCATTCCACCTATATCCTAGCACCTTCAAGCATTCCACCCGTAGTAGGTAGAAAGAAAGGTTACGTTCAGACCCTTTCCCCCTCAAATAAAGTCAGAATCTCAACTGGTGCTTTGTATGTGCAGAAAGGAATGGGATGACAAAAGGGGAAGGAAATATGGTTTTAGGTTTAAAATGGAAGAATCAGGGAAAGTCAGTTTGGATTCCCAGAGCCTACAACTGACTTTAGCTCTGCTGGGATGACTCTGAATTTTTGAAATCACAGGCAAGCAAGTTATTTTTTCCTCCTTCACGTTATTACTCAAGCATCTCCCTCTTAGACTTAACTTCTCAGTTTTAGCCTTTATGACTATTTAGAGAATAAACCTTTAGCATTTTGGATCCATAAGAACCCTGAGAAAGAGTACAGAACCATCTGATTTAAACTAAAACTCCACCTTCTACTTGAAGCCTTCCCTAAACCCTCTTAATTCCCTATTCTTTCTCTATTTACAATTTATCCTGTGTATATTTGTTTGCACATTGTCTCCATAAGGCTGTAAGCTCCTTAAGGACAAGGACGGTCTTTTGCCTTTTTTTGTAATCCCCAGCACTTAGCACTATGCCTGGCACATAGTAGGCAATTAACAAATGTTTATTGAATTGCATTATGGCTAAAAGGTCATGGAGTACACTTTCAGTTGATTTTACAGATGATAACTGCATTCAGGCCTCATTCACGTCCTTCCTTAGCAGGTACCCCATAGGAAGTGCCTAGAGAGAGAAATAATCTCAGGGCTCTCAATACATTCCCAAGAGACCGACCTAGGTCGACAGTTGGGGCCTGGGCTCCTCCAAAACAACTACTCTTGGGAACACATGTCAGCTAGGCATCTGTACGTTTAAAGGGTCTATGGAAAAACTTCATCCACTTCAGGGAGTGGGGATGGGTACACAAGTGAAACCACAAGGATAAGAACTGGGGACCTACCCTTCCAACCCTGGCACTGGTGCCACTCCACCCGATCACGTGTCAGTTCCCGGGCCAAGGAACCGGGAGGGGCCGCCCTTCCGGGAGCTCCTTGTCTCCACCCCAGCCACGTGACGCAGCCTATTTTCCTTAGGCCCCGCCCACACCCTGGATCTGGAAGCTCTTCCTTACGCTGTGCCCTTCGTCAATGATTCTCCGCCCCTAAGAGAAGGAGTCCGCGGGGCGCCTGTGACACCACGTGATCAAACTCGACTAATAAGAAGCCTCGTTGGAGGGCAAGGCTAAGGGGTGGTTTGGGTCGGTGGGGAATTGGGCGAACACGTCACGTGGTGGGGAAGGGGCGGGGTCGGGGACGTCGGAGAGGAAAGAGCGGACGCCACCGAGTCAGGCCCGAGCCGCTGCCGTCGCCATGACCCGTGAGCATCGACACCCCCTCCCTGCACGAGCCCCTAGCGCCTCCTGGAGCGTGAGGCCTTCCCGGGGAACCCACGTCTAGGCCCTGCTCCGCAACCGCTCACCAGAGGCGGTCTCCACGCACCGCTGCCTCCTCCCCCAGCATGCAGAAACCCCCCCAACCCCCCCAACTCCCGTTGAGATCCCCTCCCTCCCCCCTTGCAGCCTCGATGCGCAGAACAGCACTCCTAGGAACCTAGCCCGAGGAGCTGAGCCCCCTCCCACTGCCACGCAGCGATCTCCCCTCCCCCATCTGCTCACAGCGAGCCCTCAAGTGGACGTCCCCCTGTACACGTGTGCATAGGGACTCCCCTTCCCCCAGCCGCCACTGTGCCTTGTGCAAGCCCTACTCCCCCCATCTTCAATTGCCTTCATCTCGCCTTCCCCCCCTTCTCAGTTTTCCGTGGTCAGTGTTCGCAGAAGTGTCTGCTTTCTCAATCCCTCGGCTTGAGGGAGGGTCTTCAGTTAAGTGCCGGGGGGGGGTCTCATCCTTTTTCTTTCCGTTTTCTGCAGGCGGTAACCAGCGTGAGCTTGCCCGCCAGAAGAACATGAAAAAGCAAAGCGACTCAGGCAAGGGAAAACGCCGGGATGACGGGCTCTCTGCAGCTGCTCGAAAGCAGAGGTAGCCCCAGGGAGGGGAAAGGGTGGAGGAGCAGATGAAGATGGAAGTGCCCAAGAGATTTAAAAGGGCATGAGAGGGGGAGGGTAGAGGTGAGAGGATGCATTAGGGGCAGTGCCCATCTCTCATCTTTCCCCTCCTTTCACCCTAGTGCAAACACTAAGTCAGCCCTACAGATTGGCAGCTTGGGATCATTTAGGAAAGGCTTGGGTAGACAGTGTCAGTATGACTTATAAAGTCTTGGATAGTTAACATTTCAAGTATTGCTGTGTTTGAGTCCCGTATTCTTCTCTTATGTTCTTTCCCTACCTCTCCCTCCCCATGTTGCTGAGTGTGGTGAGGCACACTCTGGGGTCTGTATGTTGAGGTTGGCCATGTAAAAAGCAGGTAGATATCCTCTGAGCTCCAGCTCTGTGGCCTCACTGGATTGTGGGCGTTTCATCTACACACTGAATCTACACACCCCTGCCCACATCCATTTTATCCTCTCTGCCCTTTATCCCCTGCATCCTGTCCTTTTTTGCCCTCTGGTACCCCCAGTGCCCCATCATCTCTACCTCCAGGGACTCGGAGATCATGCAACAGAAGCAGAAAAAGGCCAATGAGAAGAAGGAAGAGCCCAAGTAACTCTGTGGCTCATGCCCATCTCTCTTGCCCGTCGACCGTGTGCCTGGAGCCAGTCCTGTCACGCTCTCGCCTCCTCCTGTAGCGCTCACAGGTCCCAGAACTGATGGCATTCCCTTCGCCCTGTGTCTGCAGTGGGTTCCCTCTGTGCATCCTTCCCCCCAGGCAGCCTTGCTCTCCTCCAGGGTATTCCTGGGGGTGAGGGGGTTACCCTTTCCCAGTGTTTTTTATTCCTATGGGGCTTACCCCAGAGTATTAAAAGTAGCTTTGTAATTCCTCTGATGTCTGTGTGACTAAGGGGTCCGATTATGGGGTGGGGTTGGTAGGGTGGGATGCCTTCTCAGACTGGAGGAGAAACATATAGAGGAGTTGGTTTGAAGCTTGATAAAATGATGGGAAGAAAAAGATTATTGAAAGTACCTTTATTCTTTATTAACCACATTGAAGAAATGTGTGTGGAAGGAATCCTGAGAACCTGTAAGCCTCAGATCATTTCCTTTTTCCTTTGTCTTCCTTGTACTTTTGACTTTTTCCCTTCTAAATCAGCTCCTGAAAACCAGCTCTAGGCAAGAGAGGGTCAAGTTAATTATCTAATGGTAGTTTCCTGGGTGTTGCTTTCTTTGCCTGCCTTGTTCCTCAGGCTGCCTGGTCAGTAGTAAATTAATTTGCTCATTCACCTGGTATGTTTGTCCTCCAGTGGCAGTCATTCCTCAAGGATAATCCTTTCACCCCTCAGATCATAACTGAAACTTGGCAAAGTCCCCATATGTTAGCCTTAGGGCTTTCTTGGGAGACTACCTTGTTTTTTTGTGGGTTATAGTCCTTGATTACATCACTAGTTCCTGAACCAATTTCACTTTTCCTTTGTCCAAAGAACAGTCTGTCAGTTTCTCTGGTTTTCTTTCTCTGTTTCTCTTTGGTCTCTCAGTTTCATTCTCTTTCACTTTTTTTTTCCTCTCTCCCTTTCCCCACTACTCCCCCCCTTCTGGTATTATTGACCAGTTTCCTCCCTTCCAGCTAGAAGGCTGAGATCTGAGAAGTGGTAGGTGGGGGTGGATAGCAGGTGTTTGGCTGCTGGCAGGGGAGTGAGTTCTTTGCCAAGAGCTGCTGGCCCAGAGAATTGTAGACCTCCCTCCCTGGACAGAGTTGTGGCCAGGGCCCTGATCATCATATCCCAAAACAGCATAACCACAGTGTTCACTATTCTGCCCTTAGCTCCAAAGGATAGAGCTAAAAAAACCAGTTTTTGTAATAGGCTGTGTCCTTTCTTCTTAGCCCAGCATTAGTAGGGGCAGAACAGCTGGGAGGTTCCAGTTAGGAAGACACATGGATTCTACGGCAGCGCCGACGGATGACACGAGGGGGTTGAGAGGGTCCAGTGGCTGGCCAGCAAACTGGAATCAGTAGCAGTCCCAAGTAGAGTAGTACACAAGTCCAGCATGAAGCAATCTTGACCCAAAAAGTAGCCCAGCTACCTCTTGTGAAAGTGGTTTCCAGCTCTGCCCCTTCATAGCTGTAGGGCCAAGATCTCTGTTCAGAAGTAGATCCTTGGCTCTTAAATAGGTATCTTTCCATCACCCTAGGCTTACTGAAAAACTCAAGTCCCATCCCGCAGCCCTTGGGGCTTTCTCATTTCTTAGGAAGTCAGGAGTCAAGGTGGTTTTAGTACAGGATTTGCCCTACCTGAACCAGTTAGTGAGAGTGACCATAACATAGAGCGAAGCAAGGAAGAAGACAAAGTGGAAAGCAGAGTAGCTGTAGGAGAGTCGATGAGGTGTTTGTGGTGCACCTGAACCTGCCTCCTCTCCACTAGACCCTGTAAAGAGAGGAGGGAAGGGTTTAGCTCCTGGGTACAAGCTCCCTCGCCTTCCAGAGCTCCCTACTGCACTGTGCTTGTGTTTTCCCCCTACTTCACACTCACCTCCATCTGGTGATAGATTGTCTGGGCAGCAGAAGCAAATGGAGGGCTTCTACAAAGTAAAGGTAGATTTTAAAAAGGAGGATGACAGAGGAAGTCAGTTGTGATGGTCCACAAGAGCAGGGATCCGAGGTAAGAATCCTGGTTTGGGACTTAACAGGTACAGAAGTGTATTGACATTTTCATCCTCACCTGAAACTCGTAGCTGTAAACCTTAACCATCCACAAAGGGCCAAACACTTCAGCCAGGTATGAAGCTTCGTTACTGTGGGAGGGAAGAGGGTTAACTAGCCGATCCACTCTTATTGTGGAAGGGTTTATGATTGGGATCATAAATGGGGGGATGGATAGGTGGCTTTAAATTCTGAGGATGCCAGGTTCTTATTCGGTATTTAGGTATCCTTGAACCCCATTCTCGTGTGGCAGTTCACTCTATGAGCTGTTAGCTAAGGACAGTTAAGTGCTTTCAGCTGATTAATTGTGGGCTTTAAATAAGTGCTCAGATGTGGACTTGGGGGCACAAAGATGTTCTGGCTCACAGCATCTTTTCCCCGGAAGTTGCCATTGGTCTTAGGTTGTTCTTACTCTCTACACCCTCTAACTGATTTCACTCTCCATTGATTTTTTTGTTGCCTGTTTCCTCTTGCTCTCTTTCCCCCTTCCACCTCTTGTAGTCTTTCCCTTTTGACACTTACCATGCAAAAAGCACACAGGCATACATAATGCCAGCACTCAGAATGGTCAAAGAGGTGTCCAGTGTCTGTGCCCCCACTTTGCTCATGCTGGGCCGGCATATGGTACGATTCTGTCCCCGAAGTAGCACTGTGGGGATGAAATAGTGAGGAAAGAGAAGGAAAATGGGACAGGAAGTAGGGAAGTGTAAGAATTAGGCAGAAATGAATGGGAAAATGGCACAAAAACTGCCATAAGTTCTCTACTTACCTCTATCTGGGGGCCGGCTGGACAGTGCCGAGAAAGTCAAGTACATGATATAGCAGCTAATGATGGAGGCTTGTAGGGGGCCAGAGCAGGGTTGTTCTGAGAAGAGACACCAAAGACTCTTGATCATTTAGAGACAATAATATCCCATCCCCAGGGAAACATCTGTCACTTGTCCCAGAGATCATGAAGGCAGGACAAATTTACCAAAATTGCTCCCTCACCCCAACCCCCCACTCTGCTAAAAAACCAAAACAGATTAGAAAATAAGAATGAATAGGGGACCAGAACTTGGCAGGTTTGTTAAGGAAATGTCCCCTTAATGTCAGGAAGGGAGGGTTAGATCCAGAGGTGTACCCACTGAGGCGGATGCAGGGAGTGATGGAGAGGAGGGAGAGGATGCCACAGAAGCACAGGTTCAGGATGAGCAGAGCCTTGTTGAGCAGGCAGCCAGCAGGATGGGTATAGTGGTGGAATAGAAGGAATGCTCCTGTTCCAGCTATGCTGTAGAAAACCAGTGTGGCCAGCAGCACTGCCCCAACCCAGCGCCAGTCCTGGGCAGCCCCTGTCAGCCTGTGTGAGTGTGAGAACCATGAATAGCCCAGTTTTGCAGTCTCCATATGGCCTGGGCTATTGCCATCTCCCATTTGATTAGGGTCAGTATGACTTCCTAGTCAAGATTCTCCTAGGTTTTTACCTACCTTAGTGAATCCCACCTCATTCCACCTCCCAAGTGATGATGGGGGGCGCTATCCTATCATGTGACAGTCCACCCCCACTGCTGTTGCCACACTGCCATCTGTATCTAGGACCTGTTTAGTAGTATCTCTGCATCCTAAGGATGATCTCCAGGGATAGTCTCCCTCACCAGTTTTTGTTCCAGGTGTGAGCAAAAGCTGTGATGAGCACCAGCTGTAGTAGGATGAAAGCGAAGCCTCCACAGATACCCACATAGTGCCATGCTGCAGGGTGAGCTCTGATAAGTATAGTTCAACTCCAGTATATCATTGGATGCACTTCTCCCTCCTTCCCCTTCCCACCACCCCCAGCTGATGAGCCAAGGTTAGAATGAGGACTGAAGGTTACCTGGAAAGATATGTTCATCTGGGATATAGAAGGCAGCAGTACAGAGCCCTAACAAGACCAACAGCTTCAGGAGCCAGAAGCTGGGTCACAGGAGAGAGAATACATGCTCAGGGCAGAAGGAGTAGGAAGGGATAAAAGTCATTAGGAGAGAAGGAATATTAATAGCTGACATTTATGGAGCACTATAAGGTTTACAAAACATTTATCTCCTTTGATCTTACAGCTGTTACGTAAGTAGTAACTTAATAGGAACAGAGATCAGGTTACATGGCACAAAGAGACAATGGGGTTATAAGATTACTGGAACTTTGCCCTCTCCTCCCATCCTTGTGGGCTGTGCTCCCTAAATTGGCCCATTTTAGCCCTTCCTGGAATTTACTCAGTTTGTCTCTTCCTTTTCCCCGAGGTTCTCTTCCCTTCTTTCCCCAGATAAAACATCGTATTGCCCACATACCCATTGTGCAGTCGAGCTCGGGGGCTGGTAGAAGAGTTGACATTAATCAGGATCACAGCTTGCAGCAAGTAGAAGGTGGCAGTGCCAGCACATACTCGATACACAGCCCCAGAGCCAGTTGGTATTGGGCAGTTATCCTGCGCAGAGGGAGTGGAACACAGCCCAGAGGGGATCAATACCTGGGGGCAGGGAGGGCGGGGTTGGAAGGGAGGGCAGATGGAAATAATCGAGTTTTGTGGAAAGGCACTTTATTCCCCACACCATACTAAAATTTGCTTCAAGTTTCTTTCTATTCATTTAGCTACATCCCCTAGTTCTCCCTTCTACCAGGTTCCTTCACATTCCAGCCTTTCCCTCATTTTTTTTTACTCTGCTACCCCGGCCACCCTTAATCTGTTGACCTCACCCACTTTGCCCCATAGGGTGTCCAGGACTGTTCGGGAGAGCAGAAGGCAGCAGGTGGCTGAGGCCCCCACATGTAGAAGGGTGTAGAGCAGTCTACTGCTGGTAGATTCCTTGACAGGGGGCAACCCAGAGTAGCAGCAACTAGTACGGGGGGCAGGGCCACAGCAGCATGTTGCCTGGGAACAAAGGTGATGGAGAACAGCTGTCTCTAAATTTCCTTTGAGGCCTGGGGAAATTGAAAATGGTAGAAATCTAGATGGGGAGAGGGGAGGTGTGGGGCTCTGCTCAGAAGGGACTAAGGTGAATGTGTGTTAAGAAAGATGTTAATGGATAAAGCAGCCTTTGAGGAAATCTTCCCTTCTTCCCAGGCCTCTACTGTAATTTCTGGATTAATTTTCATTTAGATTGGAGCTCTCAGATGCCCTACGCTCAACGCTGCTCACTGGTCCTTCAGATTTAGGACTGTATTATGCAATCCCTGTCCCAAGAGCTTTGTTTAACCAGATCTTAAATTACAACCAATACTTGACCCCTCTGCAGGGGTTCTGGTTAGGGTTTTGAGGAAGAAATCCAGGAGTTAGAAAGATGGGAATCAGGAATGTCACAGTCAGGGAAAAAGATTAGTTGAGGGGAAAAACTTGGCCGATTTGCAGCTAAAGTGGCTCCTGAATGCCTTATTCTCTGCTAAGGGTACATACACACAACCTGTGCCCTCTCACCTGGTACAAGATAGTTCTTCCCAGAGTACTGTTGATCGAACTCCACTGCTGGGCCGGTTCCAGGGATGAATTAGGGATTCTGGGAGGAGCCTTCACTCCTACCATCCCTTTCTAGAGTTCAAAGGTCTAATTAGGGCTTCCACCAAGGAAAAAAGAAGCAACTTGCCCTGTTCTCAGTGCCTCAGGGATTGTCCTCCCCAGTAGCAGATTGCTTGAATCCGGGTTGGGACTGGTCAGGAGGAGCAGGTCCCCTGGGAGAAGCAACCCGGCGATCCCATATCTCCTGGACTGTGTACACGCATGTGTTAGTGCTGTCTACTCGTGACCACTTCGGGCCGACCTCCCTTTGCCCCCATGGGCCCCTGGTCAATCCACAGATTAGGTGGGCAGTTTGCATATCTGGCTTTGGCTGGATTAATTTTGTTAATGGGTTTAGGATTTGACTTCATCCTCTGAGGCCCTGCCTGGCTCAGAGAAAAGGGTATGGACTAGAGGGTGATGTGAGACACTGGTGGTGGTGGTGGCGGCTGTTTGGGTCAATGAGAATATAAACTGCAGGTGTGACCTCGTCCTCGCCACCGACCCAAGTCCAAGTGCACGGGGCGGGCAGAGGACTGGATGATCCGGGCCGAGAGATCCCCGCCTCCTCGCCTGAGACTGTCGCTATTGCAGCGCCGGAACGCCCGGCACAGCCCCGCCCCTTCCCGCCCCGCTCCGCCTAGCTCAGGGGGTGCCCCCGCCTCCTCTTCTTCCCGAGGGAAGGGGCGTGGTCGTAAGGGGTCTTCAGGGCGGCGGCCACCGGGAGCGCTACAGGCAGAGCTCGGTCCAAGATGCACCCGGAAGGGGCGGGTCCTCGTCCGGAAGTTGCTGAACGGTGGGCCCGGAAGACGCGGTGCGCGGGAGGAGGCGCGGCTGGGGTGAGATGGCGACCGAGGGCGATGTGGAACTGGAACTGGAGACCGAACCGAGTGGCCCCGAGCGGCCGCCGGAGAAGCCGCGGAAACATGACAGTGGCGCTGCCGATCTGGAACGAGTGACAGACTATGCAGAAGAGAAGGAGATCCAGAGCTCCAACCTGGAGACGGTGAGGGAGGGAGGCGGGAAGCGGGCGGCGGCCTTGCGGGTGCGAGGAGCCTCGAGGCAGGCTCGGGACCGGGGGGAGGGGCGGGGAGGAAGACGAGAAGGAGAGGGAGGCGGGGGCGGCCGGCTGCTAATCTGGCCGGGGAGATGCCGAGACGCGGAGCTGACGCCCCTGCCCGGCGTGCGTTCCTGCCCTAGGCGATGTCGGTGATTGGAGACCGGCGGTCCCGGGAGCAGAAGGCCAAGCAGGAGCGGTAAGCGAGCGCCCCAGCTTTGTGCCTAGCACCTCGAACCGACCCTTCGACGGAGGCAGGGCTTCCTGACATCGGTTCCGTTCCCCAGTGATGCGGAAAAATGGGATTGACTCCGAAGTAACTGGGGTATCCTGGGTATTCTCACCCAGTATTTACGGAGTACCGATTACATTTACAAACCCAAGTGTGACACTAATAAGAGCTTATATTTTTGTGGCATTTACTTTGTGCCTGGCAATTCACTATTGATCCTCACAAGAACAACCTTTGGAGTTAGGTGCTATTATTATTATTATTATTCCCATTTTACAGGTGAGGGAACTGAGGCTGAGAGGTTAAGTGACTTGACTCAGGTCACACAGCCAGTAAATGTCTGAGGCCTAATTTGAATTCAGGCTTCCCCCATTGTGATGATTTTTGCCTCGCTCCATCCTGTAATTGGGTTTCCTTTGCTCCTGCTCTCAGAATCCCTAACTCCCTTCAAGACTCAGCTTAGGTGCTTACTTATTAGGTAAGACCTTTTTTCCTTACTCTCACAACTGTCAGTGCCCCGCTTCGCCCAACTACTTTGTAAGATTCTCAATTTCTTCTTTGTGTCCCTAGTGCCTTGCCCTCAATAAATCCTTCCTGAACGAATATGTTCACAAATAACTTTGCAGGGAGAAGGAACTGGCAAAAGTTACAATCAAGAAGGAAGATCTGGAACTAATAGTAAGTATTGGCCTGGAGATGGCTGGCAGGGGTTCCAAAACAAAGCATAATGTTGACAGTAGTTTTAGGGGTGAGAAGGGCTGTGGAATATAGAGCATCTCTTGCCTAAAGTTGAAAAGATTGGGTACAACGTTTTCTAAAATCTCTTAAGAAGAAAGTACTGCCAGTTGTCTCTTGATGACAGTGTCTGGCTTTATAGTTTTTGTTATGGATTGGAATGGACCCTTTGTGATATCTGTTCCTTTTCCTGCAGATGAATGAGATGGAAATCTCACGGGCAGCAGCAGAACGGAGTTTGCGAGAACACATGGGCAATGTAGTAGAAGCTCTTATTACCCTTACCAACTAACTTTTGAATGACCACACCTTGGTGGATTTATTTATTGGAATAAAGTTGTCTTTCTTTCTCCCATCTTACTTTGTAGTGTTTCATCGATAGGGATTTGGAAAGATAAAGTTATTGAAGCTTCTGGTTGTTGTATCCTTTTGTATTGTCGTTTTTGTAATAAGTGTCTTCTTTCTCTATAGGTTGCAATCAACTCACAACTCAGAGTTGTAAATTTAAAAATTAAATACAACTTGCTTGAGTAAAGGGGATAAAAAGACTTAAGTGAAAACTTGACTATCTACCTCACAACATTAGTGTAGCCCAAGCCATGTTTCTGAAATATATTATCACTACCTCTGGTTAACATTCTACTGCAGTGAGGCCAAATGAGTACCCAAAGGTTTAAAATATGATATGGGTAATAAATACTAGTTGATACTCATAGTTTTATTGAAACTTAAAAGTGAAGTGGTTTAAAGGAAGGTAAAGTACCATTCCCAACAGAAGTTTCAGAGGTGGGAGATTGGAAGGTGGGACACATCTTTCCCTGAAACTAAATGCAGGGAAGCCAGAGCAAATAATTTTATTTGCTTGTCTGAACGAAGAAAAAAAAAGTGGGTCTTGAGTAAGTAAGAGTAAGCACTTTTATTTCATAAGTTAGGAGTCATATTTGGATTGAATCTTTATCTGCACCATAAGATTCATAGGGAGACTATTATAGATTGTGGCACTACATTTACAGTAGATGAAGTAAGATCCCAGTCCAGAGAAACAGACAAGGTAGAAAAGTGTCAAAAACAGGTTTTTTTTTTAATAAGCTTAAGTTCCACATTAGTATTTCTTCCAACTCTAAGGAGATACTGTATTATTTCTTTGTAACCTGTGGTCCCAACTTGACAGAACCCAGAGTTTGTATGAGAAGTGATGAAACCAAATGTAGGATCCAGGCTTATGCTTATACCTGGATATTGCTTTTCAGCATTAAAAATTCCTCTTGCAGTCCCTTGTTCTAGGGTCCCTTTAGAATCATAAAAAGGGTGCTAGGCTCAAAAAGTGCCAGACAGGAGGTTCTGCTTGAGCAATCTTGGAAAAAAAATCCAAAAACAAACTTCCCCACGTGTCCATAGTCAGGGAAGTAGGTGGTTGAATCCTAAGTAGCTTTCCTCTTCTTGGCAGATGGCCTCTCAAATACATCTCGTACCCCAGCTGCCTTTTGCTTGAAGAACTTGGTATTTTGGGCACTCTCTTGTCCCCAAGCTGAATCAAAGGAAGTGGTGTCTTGATCCACAAGGTGGGTGTATTTGGTTCTGCCTGACCGTCCAAAGTTCTTGACCTGAGGGGAGAGATAATAAGCAACAACATCATATGCAGAAATTATACTCCAAGTCATTAATATACTTGTCTCTCCACCACACTAAATACCTGCATAACTTTGGGAAGAATAGTCTTATTGAAATGATCCTCCAGCGTGGGAGCACTGAAATCTCTCTTGTATACTTCTTCATCTTCATCCTGCAGACAAGAAAAAATCCATATCAGATCTGTGGTCAGACCGAATACACATCATACCTTCTAGTAAAACAATAAACACTTAACATTTTAACATACACTATTATGGGGCGACCTAGAGGGCACTGCTTCTACCCTTAACAAGCTTGGAAGAGAATGTGAAACAAAATAAATGAGATAACATCTAAGCTTGTCATACAGACTATGGAAGTGTTGCAGACATTAAATGTAAAGGGAAAGATCACAGTGGGGTGGAATTAATCAAGGAGAGCTTGGTGGAAGAGCTAACACTTGTTTCAAGTACCCAAACAAATCTTGGAAGCTTCCTTGGCACTTCTTTCTACTTCCCTGGTGAACGTCTTTATTAAGGCTCTAAGCCAGAGCAACAGACGAGAAATTCTGAGTTATGTTATAAAAATAAAAGCAACTACCTCAGAACCTATGCAACTAGCTGGTGTAGTGGATTGAGTGCTGTGCCTAGAGTCAGGAAAACTCATCTTCCTGAGTTCTAATCTGGCCTCAGACACTTACTAGCTGTGTGACCCTGGGCAAGTCACTTCATCCTGTTTGCCTCAGTTTCTCATCTGTAAAATGAGCTATAGAAGGAAATGGCAAACTACTCCAGTATCTATGCCAAGAAAACCCCAAATGAGGCCATGAAGAGTGGGACACAACTGAACAACACCTACCCTAAATGAAACTATAAGACAGTTGCAGCTAAATGGGAATGGTAGCATAGGCTTTCCTTGAAAAGGTAGATAAAATAATTGGAACTGGTTTCATTGTGCATCAAAAGATTATAAGAAACATTTCCCAGGATAATTGCTCATCTCACCTCCAAGTTTTAATCATGGGTGCAGCTAGGTGGTGAAGTGGAAAAAGCGCCAGCCTTGGAGTCAAGAGAAGTACAAATCTGGCCTCAGATAACAACTGCGTGACCCTGGGCAAGTCACTTAAACCTGTTTGCTTCAGTTTCCTCATCTGTAAAATGAGCTGGAGAAGGAAATGGCAAACCACTCCAGTATTTTTGCCAAGAAAACCTCATACGGGGTCATGAGTTGGATACGACTCAAAACCACTTGAATGACCTCAGGACTTAAGTTTTCATAGGGCCCAAGAACCCCAACTGTTCCTCAAGCATTTTCACAGAAGCCAATCTGCTTCACCCTTTGTGAGTCACTTTTTGTCTAGACTCAAAAATCAGTAAGTAGGTGAGAATGTGTACCTGAAAAGAATTGCCTTTCATATACTAGCAAACAATGCTCTACTTTTTAAACTCATTTAGCTCCGGCCTAGGAGTAGACATCTACTGAGAAAAGAAACCAGTACTCTTTTTACACAGCACAAGAAATGGTCCATTATCTCCTCGGCTCTAACCATGGCAAAAATCCAAAAGCTAGGAAAATCTCAATAAAGTAGATTGTAGACTCAATACTGAAATTGACTTTGGGAGGGGAGCAAGCTAATTCTCACTGAAGCTCATCACTTAGTTTAAAGTGATTAGAGAGGATAAGTTTTGGTACTAATGAGACTATTTAGGCTGTTGTAACATAGTTTCCAAGGCTCTAATATTCCATGTTACCCTTTTTAATACAGAAATTGCTTTCTAAATTATATTCTGTATGAGTAACAGCTCTGAATACTGCCATTCACTGTTCAGTTAGGCCTGCACTGGAAATGTAGTTAGTGCTAAAATACCACCTAACAGAATTAACTCACTTGCTGATCTGACTTTGCCCTTTACAAATGGGAAAATG